TGCGCGTCTTTCTAGCCTTGGTCCGTTACTTTGATCTGGTACGCTTCGTCAACTTCGTTTCTAGCTGCGCCGCTCAAATTTCTTTAGACACCTCCTGAGATTGGTGAACTAATCGGGATCCCTAACGCTGGGCGGTTGGTGCACCGTCTCGTCCACAGCTTCCCGAAGCTTCAGTAAGTTCTGATTGATGTCTGACTTTTTTGGGTATCTCATTGACGAACTTGCTTCAGGCTCCAGGCGCAGGTCCAACCCATCACTCGGTCGCTTCTTCGAATCGACCTTTCTATCATACCTGATTTTCGATGGGACGAAAAAATTCATGGTACGGCGGAGACCTTCCTTATCGTGGTCGAAGATGTGGATGGCGAGGTGATACTTTTCCATGACTCGTTCATCCTTCGTCAACGATACGCGGAAGATGAACATAACGTTACTCTTACTGTGCCCATGTTCGAACCTGTCCCACCCAACTACTACATCTCCATTATCTCGGATCGCTGGCTTCACGCCGAAACTCGGCTTCCCATTTCTTTCAAACATCTCATTTTGCCCGAAAAGTTCCCTCCTCCTACTCCGCTTCTCGACCTACAGGCCCTACCTCTTTCCGCCTTGCACAACAAGGAATTCGAAGCACTTTACTCCTCGACGATACAAACCTTCAACAAGATCCAAACCCAGGTTTTCCAAGCTCTTTATACGACAGACGAAAATGTTTTCATTGGTGCGCCTACCGGTAGCGGGAAGACAATCTGCGCAGAATTTGCTCTCCTTCGTCTCTGGAGTAAGAGAGAGCAACCCCGAGCGGTTTGTATCGAGCCATATCAAGAAATGGTTGATCAGCGGGTTGTGGAATGGCGGGCCAAGTTCGAAAAGCTTCAAGGCGGGAAGGAGATTGTCAGTCTCACAGGGGAGACAAGTGCTGATCTGAGGCTTCTGGAGAAAGGAGACGTCATTGTCTGCACACCAACGCAGGTTTGTCAGATCTTTCCATTCTACTTTCCCTTTTTTTCTCACTTATTAACAGTGGGACGTCCTTTCACGACGGTGGCGACAACGCAAAAACATCCAAAATATCGGTCTTCTTATCGCTGATGAGGTGCAGTTGGTCGGCGGTGAAGTGGGACCCACCTACGAGGTCGTCATTTCCCGCACGCGTTATGTCTCAGCCCAAACGGAAATCAAGACACGCATAGTCGCTTGTGGAGTCTCTCTTGCGAACGCCCGAGATCTGGGCGAGTGGATGGGTGCACCTTCTCACGCGATCTTCAACTTTTCACCAAGGTATTTGCCTTCCGTTGCTCCTCGAAGGCTGGGTACTGATATTGTTACTAGTGCCCGTCCCCTCGATATGGACATACATCTTCAGTCCTTTACCATCCCCCATTTCCCCTCCTTGATGATCGCCATGTCGAAGCCTGCTTACCTCGCCGTTCTGGAGTACTCTCCCTCAAAACCCGTCATCGTTTTTGTTCCCTCCAGGCGACAGTGCCGCCTGACGGTCGACGACCTTCTGACTCACTGCCTAGCGGACGATAAACCTGATCGATTCCTCAACATCGAGCTTGACGACTTACAACCTCACCTGGACCACATCAACGACAAGGGCCTCGTTGAAACGCTCAAACACGGTATCGGGTATTACCACGAGGCTCTCGATAAGCAGGACAAACGGATCGTTCAGCGCCTGTTTGAGTCAGGAGCTATCCAACTGCTTGTTGCATCGAAAGACACGGCTTGGAGCTTGCCGGTGGCAAGTTACATGGTCATCATCATGGGTGTTCAGTTCTATGAGGGCAAGGAGCATCGTTACATCGACTATCCAGTCATGGACGTTCTCCAAATGATGGGCCGCGCTTGTCGGCCAATGGAAGATGAGCGCAGTCGATGCGTTCTCATGTGCCAGCAAACACGCAAGGACTTCTACAAGAAGTTCCTTGCCGAAGGGCTTCCAATCGAGTCACATCTCCCGACCCATCTCCTCCATGACTACTTCCTCGCGGAGATCGCAGTCAAAACCATTGAGAACAAGCAGGATGCTATGGTAAGCGATTCCTGATTATGTTTCTTCGTTGTGTTTACGTTCTATCCCTCAGGATATCCTCACTTGGACTTACTTCTACCGCCGAATGACTCAAAACCCGAACTATTACAACCTGCACAATGTCAGCCATCAGCATCTGTCCGACCACCTTTCAGAACTTGTTGAGAACACTTTGAGTGATCTCGTGAATTCAAAGTGTATCGCAATTGGTAGGTTTCTTCCCTTTTTTCCTGCTAATGTGTCTGAACCTTTCTTCAGAGGACGAAATGGACATGTCGGCGCTCAATCTTGGAATGATCGCTGCCTATTACAATATCTCATGTGAGTGCCTATCACTTGGAAGTCACCCAATGGCTTATCCGCTTATTAGATGTGACGGTCGAGGTGTACACATTGTCTCTCAAGGAGCGTACGAAGTTGAAAGGCCTTCTCGAGGTTGTATCATCATCGGCCGAATTTGAAACTATCCCGATCCGGAGACACGAAGATGCTCTTCTTCGTCGTATCTACGACCGCGTCCCAGTCAAACTAGAGCGGGCCGACTTCGAGGCCCCCCACTTCAAAACGTTTCTGCTCCTTCAAGCTCACTTCTCACGGTTGCAATTGCCGCCTGATCTGGCTGCTGACCAGGTTCTGGTCCTGGAGAAAGTACTCAATCTTTTGTCGGCCAGCGTCGATGTGATGTCGTCTAGCGCTTGGTTAAGCGCTCTGGGTGCGATGGATCTATCCCAGATGTGTGTACAAGCCATGTGGGAGACGGATTCGCCTCTGAAACAGATCCCTCACTTTGAGACTGAGGTAAGCAAATTCACGCTGTAAGAGAGTCATTCGCTCACAGGTCATCGTCGCTTCAGGTAATCAAGCGTTGTAAGGACGCCGGTGGTCGACTCCGTCTATGACATCATGGAGCTCGAGGACGATCGTAGAAACGAGTTGCTCCAGATGACGCCCGCCCAAATGTAAGAATCACAAACTTTTCCTTACGATCGAATCTCACATCATTTCAGGCGAGATGTCGCAACCTTTGTCAACTCCTACCCCACTCTGGACATCTCTCACGAGCTCGTCAAAGGAGAATACACCGCAGGCGCGCCAATCATCCTCCAGGTATCGCTGGCACGTGACGCAGACGAGGAAGATGATGGTGATCAAAACGTTGTTGCACCATTCTACCCCCTGAAGAAGTTGGCGAATTGGTGGCTCGTTGTCGGAGATCCTGCCTCCCGTCAGCTCCTTGTCATTAAGCGAGTCACGGTGACGAAGAGCCTTGCCGTTAAACTTGAGTTTACGTTGCCGAAGGGCACTCACTCACTGAAGCTCTACGTCATTTGTGACTCTTACGTTGGTGCTGACCACGACATTGGTCTCGAACCCATTGAGGTGCTCGAAGGAGAGGATAGCGACAGCGATGAGGATATGGATAGCGATGAGGACGAGTAGACTTCGGGGCTTATGCATTATGATCTGTGTATTTGTATCTTTTTTGTAGTTGCTCAATAATTTCTTGTTGTTTTCGTTGAGAACGGAGCTGGTCATTGATTCATAATGCGCCACCCGTTCTCGGTATCATTGTATAGAGGTTGTTTCACGAAAATAGTCAACGCTGGTTATGGGAACCTCCCCTTCGAGGGCACTTGTTAACGCAGCGTGGAGGGTATGTGAAAGAGTGCGAAGAACAGTTGAAAGATTACATTGATAAGACTATACATTTGCGTGGTGGGACATGAAATTAGATTACACATTGTAGATCATTCAATTGGAGAGCGTGAAGAGAGGAGGTATCAACATTGTTGTTCCGTAAAGAATCCAAGACCGACTTCAAAGCCTTGAACTGATTCACCTTGTCCTTTTTCTACAAGTGTGGAATCAGAAGAACTGACGTGGGGCGCTTCTGGACGAGGACTCGCCTGGTACGTAACCACACGGCCTGACGTACTAGACACAGCGTAAAAGCGGGTTTCCTTGGGGCATGCTGTCAAGGAGCCCAATTACCATCGTCAAGACTGAACGGATTTCCTTGCCTTGTTCATCTTGATACTGAAGCTTGTAGGGCTGAATCCCGATAGCCGCCTTCGTCTTTCGGCCCTTTCCAGCCTGTTGACGGGTAAGTAACGGGGGCTAGGACGAAGACAACCTCACAATTACCGGCATCACTTTAAATTTCACGATGTCCGCGATTCCCAGTCCAACAAAGCAGACAATCTTGGGGCGGTGTGTGGCGATCTTGGCGAGGAGAGCAGGAACTCCCGCTTTTTGCTCGGCTTTGGATAGCTCGCTTTGCTACGGATGATGAGATCGGTCGGTGACTGGGAACTTTGCATGAGAGGTGCCGATACCTCAGCAGTTGGACGACCAACCAGATTCGTCTATCATTGGAGATGTGAGTATCATTGTCGCGCTTGATAGAAGGAGAGAAGGCGTACTTACCATTCCGATCGAAAACTGTTCTGGGAGAATGAAGTCTTCTTGAGGACGGAGAAGTCGTGTGGTGAAGCCTGATTCATACAGGCAGCTCCAGAAGTGGTTTGTTGGACCACCAAAGTGGTGCCCTATCTCAGCGGACGTCTGACCTGGGCTGAGAACGATCATTAGCGTGTCAAGAGTGGCAGTCCGACGAACTCACTTAATACCACAAAAAACCACTAAACGAGAATGTGAGGGGATGGTTCGAGATGTTCATGCTTTGACTGACTTACCTTCTAACCCACTCCGCAAGTGATTCCGAAGTTCCCGCAGGTGAGCGTACGTAGACGGCTCGGCATACCCCCGTTTCTGTTTCTTGGGGGAAGAGCCAGGTTCTAAACGACCGACCGATTGATTGGGACCCTCGTCAAGTGCCCACATCGACCGCTTTCTTGTCCTCAGAACCTTTACGCGAGAGCTTGAGGGTACTGGGCTGTCCGGCCCTTTTGCATGATCCTGATTTCGTGGCCTCAGGCTCTGGGTCGTTGTGGCTTTGTCGTAACCGGGCGCCTTGGATTTTTGATTTGAAAAATGGAAGTCGGAAAAGGCGAACCGAGCCAATGAGGCTTGGAAACGTTCGGAGACCTTGGAAACTTCAGGTGCTTCATGTTGCTCCGTGATTACGGAGGTTCCGGAAAG